TTTTTTTTATAATAACTGAGGTATTTGATCCATTTGGATAGCAAAAATATATTCGATCTTGTATGATGGTGTGCTTCTAAAAATAATAATATAATTTTATTGATTTTGTCTATTATCCGTAATTATTTATATAACTATTTTTTAACATATATTGTTTTAGTAATTCAAATGGGAGATTCACAAGGAAATAATAAAGAAAAATGAAAAGAGAAAGAAAACTATGAAGCTTGGATTAAGGATGATTCCGATGAATTGTTACAATTGATAGTGGATGCTATAAAAAGAGGATAGAATATTATAGAGAATTATTATTATTATTTATCTAGACATTATTTTTTTTATTTATTATTTTTATCTTTGACTCTTTTTAAATTTGAATGTATAATTTTTTTTAAATCTTATCAAATGTCAAAACTCCACAAAATCCCACAGAATCCATTAAAATCCTAATTTAAAAGTCTTGCAGAATCCATTAAAATCCTGATTTTAAGTCATGTAGAATCTTGCAAAATCTTAAAAGTCATGAAAATCCTGCAAAGTCTTTTAAAATCCGCAAGATTTTTTTTAACTAAAAAAGTCCTTTAAAATCCTAATCCAATACACCCCCTAAGTAATACGTCTTGAGTCCATAAGCCTTTTTTTTTATATAAAAAATTTCGAGTACACATCTTAATTATATTACATGGAAGTTTTTGTAACATTTCAATACATGATATTTTGTAAATATTGGAGAAATTACAAATTATAATTTTTTTAATCTAATTTTATCATTAATATGTGTCGAATTCACGTTAAATTTTAAGATTTAAAATTTCATTATATAATGTTTCGTAAATATTAGTTTGATTGCAAAATATAATTACTTTTTTTTCTAGTTTTCTCACTGAAAATGTAATAAATGAAATAAACAATCATCATAAATTATATCGAGAAATAATTAATTAACACCAATAACAAATTTAGTAAAATATAAAACTTAATTAATTATATTTTATTTATACTTGATTTTAATATTTTTAGCACCAATTAAATTTTATTCTTTTTCCTCGAAACACTATTTCATTTATTCGGAGGTAATTATTACGGAGTAAGTACTATTTTATTTTTGTTTTCAATGTATAGCTCTCAGTGACCAAACGTTTCTATTTTTATTTTTATTTTTTCTCCATTGTTACTTATTATCATTTTTACTAACAATAAATTTCGTTTACTCGCGGTACAAGTAAATAATAAGTAATAAATATTATTTTAATTAAAATCAAAATTTTAATCATACTAATTTCCACTTAACAATCAAAACTTCACATGAAAAGAATAAATTCATGTTATAAAATAAATAAATAAATAAAAAATAAATTATGACAAATACCAAAAAAAATTGATATTTACTAATTTTAATCAAAATGATTTTTAATTAATTAAAAAAGATAATTTAAAATTCATTCATTCAAATATATTATATGTTAATAAATTATAATATAAAAAATATAATTCATTTAATTTTAAAGAGCTAGTTTAACAATTTAATTTATAAAAATAAATAACATTTTAAAATAATTTTATCATTCTTTAAAAAAACACAATAAATACATCCTCGTCATTGACTTTATGAAATATATTATTTATGAATATCACCAAGAACTTAAAAATAAAAAATAATATCCTTCATCATTAAATTAAAATTTGAAAGTCTTATTATTATTATTATTATTATGGTTAAGTTAGGATCAATTTTTAAATCTAGCTGAAAATGATGTATTCCTAACTTTGTATATATAAATTTAAAAAGTAAATTGAGATTTTGTTTTTTTCTAGTGTATGGGAGTAGAGTTGAAGGTGGATAACCTGCTGCGTTTTAATTCTTAACCATCTTCGGCGATTGTGGCAGTGGCCACAAGCTGAATGACACGTTGCAGATATTATGTAGCGTGTTTGGTTTCTGTAGATTTAAAAACGATATTTAATCTAATAATTCTAATTCAACCGCCAACTCTTTGAATTTGAATTTGACAATTTCATTTAGGTGACTTCTCTGATGGACTAGGACAAGTGGTTCATGGCTGCACCATCAATTTTAACTTTAAGGCTTTGTTTGGATTTGAGGATGGGAAAGAGGGAGTGAAAAATGAGAAATTTGAAAGAAAAGTGAGTGGAACCCCAGGTATGAACTTTGCATGTTGACGGGTCCTCCAACTCTAAAGGCGGTGGTGCAGGCATAATTCTGGAAGGGTCAAACCAAGTCACCTTGGAGCAATCTCTCAAGTTTGGCTTCAAGGTGACCAATAACCAGGCGGAGTACGAGGCACTTCTAGCAGGACTGAGGCTGGCCCGCGACCTCGGGGCTCGAAGAGTGAGTTGCAACAGTGACTCAAAACTCATGGTGGAGCAGCTCAGCGGGACGTACCAGGCAAAGGACACTATGCTACAGCGGTACTTTCACACTACGTCCCACCAGATCTCGTCTTTCGACGAATTCATCATAAAGCATGTGCCGCAAGAGCAAAACGCCTGAGCCGACCTCCTATCGAAACTCGCCAGCACCAAAAGGCCCGGACAACACCAAACCATCATACAGGAAACCTTGCACTCACCCAGCCTAGACGACAAGGTCGTCAACGTCAGTGACAATGAAGACCTGGGATGGATGGCAGGCATCTCGGGCTACTTGAAAGAGGGAATCCTGCCCGAGGATAAAAACGAAGCTCGGAAGATAAGGATGAGATCGGCCAAGTTCGTCATCATCAGAGATGAATTATTCAAGCGTGGCGTCTCCTCTCCACTACTCAAATGCCTGACTGCATCCCAGGCAGCCTATGTCATCAAGGAAATTCATCAGGGGATATGCGGCATGCATTCCCGGACGCGTTCAATGGCAACCAGGATACTGCGTGCTGGCTATTACTGGCCCTCTCTGAAGTCGGTTTGCCAAAGCCACATCCAAAAATGCAAAGAATGCCAGCAGTTCGGCAACGCACACCAACAACCACCTGAAACCCTCCACCACATGATGTCGGCGTGGCCTTTCTCCCAGTGGGGAATGGACATCATCGGGCCATTCCCCCCTGCGAAAGGCCAACTTAAATTCCTCATAGTAGCAATCGACTACTTCACCAAGTGGATTGAAGCATGTCCACTCGCCAAAATCACCACCGAGAACGTGCGGAAGTTCACCTGGAAGAACATCGTCTGCAGGTTTGGAATCCCTCACGCCCTCATCACTGACAACGGCCGACAGTTCATCGCACAGGAATTCGAGGACTTCCTCCGCGAGCTCGGAATCAAACACCTTTCGACCTTGGTGGAACACCCTCAGACCAACTGCCAGGCCGAAGCTGCCAACAAGGTCATCCTCCGGGAACTCAAAAAGCGACTAGGAAGCGCCAAAGGGCAGTGGCCCGATGAACTCCCCAGCATCCTATGGGCGTATCATTGCACCCCCCAGTCAACCACACAAGAGACGCCTTACAGGCTGACCTACGGAGCTGACGCAATGATCCTAGTAGAAGTCGGCGAAACATCCCACAGACGCCAAGTCTTCAACGGCGAACAGAATGGCCAAGAACTGGCAGCTGACCTCGACTTAGTGGACGAGCTTAGAGACGAAGCTCAA